ATTTTCCTTCCTTTTTGAGTCTGCATTTTGTTCTAGCAGATCAGTGGTGAAAATTCTGTCATCAATTTCACTGATTCTGTGTTCCATCTCTTCAGCTCTGTTCATATGTGCCTTTATGATGTTGACAGCATCTGAAACATTGGGCCTCATATTTTAGATCACAGTTTCTTGTTTTCCCAGAGCTTCTAATATCTCATTTGTTTTATCTGTGGTGATTTGGATTTTTTTTTCTTTCAAAAGTTTATTTAGTATCAAGCAAGAAGAGACTTTATTCAGAACATTTTAAGAATTGAGTTACAAAAGAAGACCACATTATTTGCACTTGAAATTGGTTTCCCTTTTTATTCATGTTGGCAAGAGAGAAAAAAAAGAAAATAAACTAGCATATGGCTGAAAGATAAAATAGCTAAGCTCTATGGAAACCTTTAAAATGAATGGTGAGGCTTATGTTAGAAGGATGGATTAACACATTTAGTAAACCTAGTTGTTTTGTTTAACACTAGTTGATCAAAGTTGTGTTTTTCTTTTGATTGACCTATTTTTCATAAACAGATTAGAAATAACAAAATTTTACACATCTTTTTTTTCTGCCCAGGTGATGTTTAAACAACGAAGTTTAAATTCCATCCATTCAATTGTTTTAAGTATTCTGATTTATTAAAAAGAGATTGTTCATAGAAAAAAATTACTTTGAACAGTACACAGGACTGGTGGAGATTGGCTATTTCACAACAGACCCTACATTCAGTATCTGCTGTCGGGCTGGCTGGTCCTTGAGGAAGGGGCCTTGTTTCTTGAGTTAGTCCACTCTTCCTGCCCATAGGAATCGTGTGTCCCCTCACTGAGTCCATTTCTATAATCATAGTAATCAGTACTACTCTGGGCTGAGGCGCTGTAGCTGTTCTCATAGGAATCCTAGCTCTGGTCATCGTAAACGGCACCATATCTATCATCGTAGTTGTATTCTCTGTAGGTCTCCTGTGCAGGGGCTGGTGGTGGAGGCTGGTATCCGGTCCAGGGCACTCCTCTAGCTCGGGGTGGGGTTGGGGGGGTGAGCAGTCCTCTTACTCAGCTCACTGGCCCTCGGGAGAAGAGGATCCCTCTGGGGGTCGGTGTCCCTGGGGGCACACCAACTGCAACTGGCCAGGCTGTAATTGCTCCCCTTCCCCTGGAGACCGTGGGGGTAGGTACACCTTGTGTCCACAAGGGGAGCTTCCCTTGCACCACTGGGACGTTGGCGTTTTCTGAACCTCCATTCAAGTATGTCAACTCCTGGAGCTGGGTTTTGCCTGATTTCATCATTGTAGTCGGGGATGAGGAACTTCTTGATTTCTTCCAAAGTGTGTCCCATGCAGGCATAGGCCTCTGCTGGTGGTGCGAATTCTTCAATGAGCACATGGAGATCATCGTTGAGATGGAAGTAGTTGGCTTCTCCATTTTTCCTCAGCTCTTTTTCTTTTGTCTTGCCCCACATGGAGCCTTTTCCAAGAACGGACATTTTGATCAATGTTTCTTCCTGCAAACACTTCAGGGAATTGCCACATGGCCCCAGTAGTTTCCCCACAAAGTTGAACTTAGGGAACTGCTTCACAGGAATGAACACTTTCTGTCCCAGCTTCATGTTCTTTTCTTCTTCCTTGCTATCTCCTTTCTGAAACTTTTTTATTTCTTGGTTCACCAGCTGCAGAGCATGCATGAACGAGGGGTCCAGCGAGTCCTTCTCTGCCATCAGCTCTGGCAGGTACTTGTCTTCCATGCTCACTGCTGCCTGGGGCCCGGGGTGCCCCCAACCCAGCCCACGCCCCGAGGACCCGGAGGACCCAGCAGACCCCTCGGCCAGCTGTGCGCAGTGCTGCACTGGGGGCGCGAAGAACTGGGGACAGTGCAACCCGCAAGGGCAGCCAAGCAGCAGCATCGGTGACCCGGAGGCAGTGCACGACCAGCTCTGCCAGCTGCAGCACCCGCCAAATTGGTTTTTTTTTTTTAGCTCTTCCTGATTTTTGCTTGCAGTGTCTTGTAATTCTTCTAGTTTGTCTTTCATTCATTGAAAATATTCAATCATTTTAAATTCTGTGTTAGTTCAATCAGACTTTCTGGGTTCAGGAAATCCATTAGTATTGTGTCACTTTTTTTGGGGTGACATCTTGCTTTTCGCTTGCGTAGCTTGTGAGGTGGTCTGTTTCCTCCTTGATGATGCTGTGGTAGTGTTTTTCATGCCTAAGGTGATGACAGGTTCTTGATCTGAAATCACTGCTACAGATGAGGGTCTCGCAATTATGTTTCCTGTGTTCCTCTCTGAATTTCTGAACCAAGGCAAGTGTCCATTCACAGCCTGTGAAAGTGGCCTTTTCTGTTGGATAATTGTTAGAGCTAAGTCAGACCAAGATGGTCTGGATTAAAGGCAGTTAGTTGATGGGCCCTGAGGAGATGTGAAGGTAAGGGGCAGGGGGAACAGGCAGGGTAGGCACAAGCACAGGTGTATGCTGTATGGCTTGTGCCTGGTGGGGCTACCTGTCCAGGTGGGCATGTGGGAAGACCTTACTCAGGTTTGCAGCTGTCCCACTCATGCCTGGTGGTGGTGGTGGTGGTGGTGGTGGGGTGTTTCCTGCCTGGGTGTGGACGTGCATGGAGGGACCTCACTCAGGTTACAGATGTCCTGCTGGAGCCCAGCAAGACTAACTTCCAGATGGACACTCGCCAGAACCTCACTCAGTTTGCAAGTGTCCCACTCATGCCCAGCTGGGCTACCTGTGTGGGTAGGGTACCTGTGTAAATACCTCACTGTTTGTAGATGTCCTGTTTGCAATCAGTTGGGGCTACCTGCCCCTGTGGGGACTCACAGGGACCTCACTCAAGTTGCAGCTTTACAGCTCACACCCTGCAAGGTTGGGTTCTGGGTAGTCATGTGTGAGTTCCTCAGTGAGGTTGCAGATGTTTGGTGGGGTCGCGGCGGCGGTTGGCTGTGGCAAGGGCCACGGTGGGGTCGCCGCAGTGGTGGGGCCATGGTGGGGTCGCCGCAGTGGTGGGGGTAGTGGCTCTGGCATCATGGCCGATAATTGATTCGTTTGACCCAACTTCTCAAACAACTTAAAAAAGAACAGCAAGAATACCCAACACCTTAAAATATGAAATTATAAATATTAGGGCAGAAATAAAAAGAAAACAGAAAAATAATTGAAACTATCAGTAAAACCAGGATTTGTTTCTTCAAAAAGATCAATAAAATTAGCAAACCACAAGCAAAACTAACAAAGAAAAAGAAAGAAAAGACACAATTAATCTGAAAAAGAAATGAAAGGGGAAATATTACAACAGAAACAACTAAAATAAAAAGGTTAAGAATGGAATATTATAAAAAACTATACTCAAATGTGCAAACCTAGAGGGATGAACAAATATTTAGAGACTCACAACCTACTTAAACTGACACAGACTGAAGTAGAACCCTGAACAGACCAATTATAAAAGACAAAATTGAACAAGTAGTAAAAGAACCTGCAACCAAACAAAAGCCCTGGACCAGATGGTTTTACTAGTGAATTTGATCAAATATTTAGAGAACTGT